GTGTATAGTATGCACATGAGTGATGGAACATACAATCTAAGACGTGGTAGACATTTTAATCTGGATAAATTGATAAAATCTGGATTAAATTGGATAAATTTGAAAATTTTCAGTTGAATTTTCTGAAATACTTTAAAATTCCCAAATTCGTAAATTCCACCTCCGTGCAGTGCAGTGAAACACACATTTTTTTCAACCAATTTAATTTGTAGGTCAAATGATATGTACCAAATTTTCTTAGAAATGTAAATATTACCGTTTAAGCAAGCTCCCCATTTTTTTTACTTTTAGGGCGATGTTTAGTTAATTTTCGGAAATCGTGCAGAATAAGAAGTCGGTAACTTGCGGACAAATTGTAAAATTAATGGTTAGTTATCCAGGAAAACATGAGGTGGATCGACCAACAAGATTTGACAAAAATTGCGTGACAATCTGACAAACAAACGAATCTTGAAATCATTACTTTGGTATTATATACATTAATTTATCGCAATAAAAATTATTCTTTCTTCACGATAAGCAAAACATACAAAGAGAATATTAAAATATTGGACATAAATGCAATGACCAGAAATGATTTCTAACTTATAATGACTTTACCAATTATTTGTAAAATTTTGTAAATTTGGTGTCTTGCCTTTTAAATGACATACATTGCTATTCTTATTCTTATAAGAAGTGTCTTCACAAATGAAGTCTAGTACATGTAGAAGATGTAATTTCTCCCTAATTTCATTTTCCCTTTAGCTAGTCTTTTTGTTTGACAGAAAAATATAACTCAATTTTATAAAGCATCGTGCAAACAGTCTGTTTTTACAGCTTTTATAACAAGAGTCTAATTAATTAATGCTTATAAAATTACATAATGGATAAAATGAAATGATATTTTTGATTTCGATATAAATAAGCATTTTTAAACCTTATATACCAAATAGTCGATGATTTGCACATGTTCTTATGTGTTCCAATATTCTAATTGAGACACATGTATCTATCCAATAGTAAAAAGGTTTAAAACAATTGATGCTTAAGTAATCAAGTGTTAATCTATCTATTAAATGCAAGCCTTTCAGTATGCATCATTTACATTCAGTACATAGTTAATTAGGAAATGATGTCAATGAAGAAGATTTACTGGTACATTACCTTCTGGCGCATTCTTAACGCTTATTGCTGGATTAAATGTATCTGATCGTAACATTCTGAAATTGTATAGTTCCCATTCAGTATTCCAGGCTACATAAATAAGAATATTCCCTTGTAAAATTATTGCCTTCACGACTTTAAATAATAATTCAGATCAGATTATAACCTGTATAATTTAGTAGACACTATTTTTTATTCTATAACATATTATTTGATTTAAAAGGCAAAGCTGACACTGAATACTATTTAAATAATTGTCGAAATATGTTTTAGGGACATTGATTTTTACAGTCATTGTTTAAACTGTATAACTGTATATTACATTTCAATAATAATAATTCACAGGAAATACTGCACAACTTTTGAAAATACATGTAATTTCAAATATGTAGTGTGGTGTTGCTTCTACATAAGTAGGAAAACAAATATAAGTATTATCATTATTTACTATTAAAGCAAATCGCTTTAAATTGCAAAGAATTTATGTAATACACGTTTTCATACATTGATATTCGGTAAGTTAGTGTTTATGAAATATATTTCTAGATAAAACAATAATCATTATAGAAAATGACTGCAGAGAACCTGACTGGGTTCCTAAGCAAACTTTTAAAAATAAGTTCTTGGAAGACAAATCATCCTTATCGTATTATTAAACCTTAGAAATTATTTTCGAAAGGTTACTTGAAAAAAAAAGGAATAATATAAAATGTCTCTAAGCGACGGGATAATTTTCATGTTGGCGATATTCATTAACTCATCAGCTGAAATCCATGCAACAGTGGCTCTACTCACGACTCTTAAACGGTTGATGTTAATCACATGGTACGAGCTAGTAGTATTCATGCTTTACAATAGCAAAGTATGTCTTGTATCACAAGATCGAGGGTGCATATTTTATTTTTAAAGACGTTTTTGCGAGTAGTGCAATATTTTAACAAATGCAAAGTTTAAAGTAGCGCCGAAAACGTTCTTAAATTTTGCATGATTATAGAGTATAATTGACACAAAATGATGAAGTGACCTTCAATCAGTAATGTATGTCTTTAATCGAGAAAAAAACAAGAGAAAAAAGAAACTTCCCAGCGCCAGTTTAAAGTTTCCTTCTATTCCTTTGTGACAAAATGCCAGAAAACGCTTTAACATTCAGCTTGATATAAGCTTACAGACATTCATCGTTTTAACTGCTTATTTTCATTGAATATTTTAGAAAAGTGAAAAATCACACCAAATCTCTAGAAATAATGATAATGCAGAATACCTACCTAAAAAGTATAATTTATAGATAAGGTTTGTTGTGGGAAATTGTAATGGACACTACTTGTTTGAAACAACGATGTCGTGTAATTTTAATTGTGATAATGACTAGTGCAAACAGTCATAAATGGCTCAAACGATCTAATGGGTTGTCATATAAACCGATTTTGCCAATTTTCACCATTCCTATGTCTGAGGGATTTCTTATACTGGTGTACGACAATAAGCATTATCATCTTTACAGGTGTAATATCAAGTTAAGGAAGTTATGCTTATTTAAAGCTGCATTAAATAAATTTCATAAAAAAAGAAATAGCTACAGTTCGTTAATTTTGGTGTCCAGACAACAAAAATGAGTTTTATAAGCCTAAAATTCATCAACCTCCATGTGGCGAAATCGGCAGTATTCTATTTGCAGAAACCCCGCCTTTGGGTCATCCGTACATCAATAGAAAATCAACACACATTTTTAAGTAGCAGTCCAAATTTAACGGTATATTTGCACATTATATTACGGATGTTTTCATTCAAATTCGATCTTTTTTATGAGATGATTACTTTTTTGTTAACGACAGGGCTAATGCACCGTGAAACTAAAACGGTATTTGTTTGTTTGCACAAGAATATCTCATATTTAAAATAATCCATATAGTAACAATTGATTTTACCACTGTGACGTAGAATTATACTAGTCTTCATTTGCATGTTAAAATTCGTATACCAACTTTAGTGTTACCGTGGGGTTTCCTTTTAAAATCATAACTTATGGGCAATTTTAATGAAGTTTACAACAATACTGTTAAAATGTTAAAGGAATTATAGTATGCTTTATTTTTAAGCCGACAGAAAAATGTTAACATCTTTTATTTAATGCAGCTTTAAATGTCACAGTCACTGCATATGGACATTAAATAACATCTCATATAAATGAGGCTGAAACTTATGCTATTTTCGACTGCACTTTGGTGATATTGGAATCAAATCATTTATAGTACGGCTCTGTCAGTTCATTCAAACTTCAATAACATGTAAGATATTAAGTTGTTTTTTTTTCCAAATCACTCTCTTATTAAGACAATATTTTGTTACGATATTTTAAACAGACTATATTTTTATCGTTCCAACTAAAGTATTTTTTAAAATTCTTTTTGTATTCCGTATTAACTCCTATTAAGAGGTTCGCCTACGATCGAATCGGGATGATTTCCATTATAGCGGTCTTTTTCTAGCATTTTATAGTGCCTTTTTCATACTTATATCATTTTTAATGTTATGATTGGCGTCTGCTTCTTAGCTTTGGAAATATGTAAATAGTTTTTCAGTAAAATGTTTATGTCAGGTAATTTGTAATATAAGTCTCTTAAAATTCATCATACGAGTGGCAATGTATTTGTTACCTTGTGTATAGTAGTATTGATTTGCAAGTTTTGATGTATTAAATAAATAAATGTAGGATAAACAAGAATCGTCCCACAAGTGACGAATGCCCCCGAAAAGATTTCTCAAGCATGCAATTATCATGAAAAGAAAAGAGAATGAAATTATCTAATTGCTTAATATTGTTCTTGTGAAATGAAGTGCTATTCAAAGCATACTTAACACCTTGGGACAAGGGTCTTGGATGCGACACATCCTCTTGATGTGGTAGACATTTATTAAAATCCTTCAATGCACGACAATGTTACAGTTTGGACATGATTGTACACACGGACCGACATGAGCCCTAGACGTGACACATTGTCTTGATGTGGTAGACATTTGTGTCAAGTTATTTAAAAATCCTTCCATGCATGACAAAGTTACTTCCGGACATGAATGTGTATCTTAAAACCCTTCTCGAGAGAATGGGTAGCTTCAAACTATTAGTGTGACCTTGACCCATGGGTCTTGGACGCGACATGTCATCTTGATGTGGTAGACATTTGTGCCTTGTAATTTCAAAATCCTTCCATGCATGACAAAGTAACAGTGCGGACACGAATGTGTGTACCTATAAACTATATTTGTGATAAAGTGAACTTCAAAATGGTAGTGTGACCCTGACCTTTGAGAATAGGACATGAATCTTGAACGCGACATGTCATATTGATGTGGTAGACATTTATGTCAAGTTATTCTTAAATCCTTCGATGCATGGCAAAGTTACAGTCCAGACACAAATGTGTGTACCTATAAACTCTTGTGATAAAGTGAAACTTCAAAATGTTGGGGTGACCTTGACCTTTGAGGTAGAGACGTGATTCTTGGACGCGACACATGTTTGATGTGGTAGACATCTATGCAAAGTTATTCTAAAATCCTTCAATGCATGAAAAAGTTAGTCCGGACACGAATGTGTATACCTATTAACTCTAATTGTGATAATGCGAAACTTCAAAATGTTAGTCAGTAGGGAGGTGGTTCTTGAACGCGACACATCGTCTTGATGTGGTAGACATTTGTGCCACGCTATTCCAAAATCCCTCAATGTATGACAAAGTTATAGTCCGGACACGAATGAAGTGGGGATGCACAGACGGACAGACAGACCGTGCAAATTTCTGGGGCATAAAAATGGAAAACAACATATTATTTTAAGTTTTATTGGAACAAAACTCAATAATTATAATAATATAAAGTGTGAAATTTGGCCACTGACATTTTACTACAACAGCATAGTTAAAAAAATATATAATGTAAACCAACACTTTTATCCAGTAGCTAAGTTGTTGCAGATATTTTTGTCTGCTGAAATATCGTTAGTTTATGTTTATAATTATTTGATTGGCAACAAATCATGTCCTAACATATAGATAACCATCATCATCAGGTAACAAGTGCTCGCCAATAAGATAATTTTCCTTGGCAGCACCATGTTATGCAAAACGATTATCTTGTTCTTTATTTATGGGAACAGATATTTGGGCTGTTGGCTTTTACATTTCACCAGGAAAAATCTGTATAAAATATTTCATACAAAGAAAAAAAAATCACTATATTCAATATGCATCCACTGTGAACTATCTGTTACATCAAGTTTTATCGAAATTTGGTTAAGTAATTCAAAATATATGTACTACAGTGCATTTTGAATAGTGACATACAAAGTCTTATCAATAAAGGAAAAAAAACGTAACATATTTATTGTCTACTTAGGTAGATTTGTTAATTTTTGAGGTAATATCTACAACCTAACGGAGTTCAATGTAAATTATAATGTACAATAGTAAATCAAGAAATAGCGTAAATGCAACAAGTGAAATAATTTTATCACAGACAACAATATAGGACGGATACTTAAACCTTTTTTTAAATAATATATCACTTATAGCTTGGAATGTTTTTAATATTTTAATTACAGTTCTTTTTCTCCATTTTGAGACAAATATAAACAAATGTCAGTCCTCAGTAAAAGCATCTGTGACTGCCTCAGACACTGCTGTCTGTGTACGACTCATACCTCTGTCTGTAAATAATATCAAGAAATAACATATTAAACATCTATTCTATTTTGACAATTGAATATTCAAGGTTTTTTTTAAAAAAAGAAAGAAAGAAAAAAAGGGCTTTCTCCACAACCAACATATGCATTTGCTTAGTACTAACCGGAAGTGCAATGCAGCTCTATCATGACATTTTTCATTATTTAGTATTTCTCTAGATTGATTTTTTTAAATAGTTTAGTTTCAAATAAGTTTGGACTGTGAATTAATGTTTTCTGTTGTCATATTATTTCCAAATTTCTTACAATACATGTAGTCCCTTATTTATATGATGTTCTTTCAGTCCAAGGAAAACTTTACACTAGTGAGCAACAACATTGGCCGAGATCGCACACATGAGATTTATTGTCAAGAAAGGTCATAAAGGGGCAAGCCCACGATTTATAAATCTTTTCTAGATGTCAACTAAGCAATGTTACCAAAAATATTGCAATAGACTATGCAGTTTCCCACAAGGAGATTTAAATGTATTTTCCTATATTGATCTGCGTAAATTAAGTGACCTCTAGGACAGGGTCAATTTTGATTCATAGTGGAATGATCAAGATGACCATAAGGTTATGACATATATCTGAGCTGTGGTTTCTGAGAAAAGATTATGATAACATATTCTTTTCTATTTTTTACCATATGAGCTTTTTATGCATCAAACTATAACCATTTATGCAACTTTTGTAGAGTTCCAAATAAGGAATAGTCTTGTGAACATATCTTAAGTTCTTGACGTACACTTCTAATCTTCATACAAATTAACAACGACAGTATTTCCTTCCGAATAGAGCATTGTTGATAACAAAATGCTTATTCTTGACATCATAATGATTTACTCCCTTTAATATAATGAATTATAATATTTTTAATAAGGAAATCAATAATAAGTTACCAGTTTGAGGTTTATCAGCAGTATTATCATCAGCCTGTTTCTGTTCCCCATCTTCACCCTCATTGTCCTCATCCTCATTTTCAGCTCCCATTGGTGACAATGTTACTGGGTTATATTGACTTAGGGAGTCACCCAATATACCGATTCTTAACAACATTAAGTCTCCATTAATTTAAATATCTATACATAAAAAATATAACAACTTATCAAACTTTAACAACTCATAAATCAAACTTCATTAATGCAGTTCTTATGTCTTAATTTATTCCTTAGAGCTTAAGCTTTTAAAATTTATACATACAAATCTTATTTAATATCTTATTAACATCAGAGCCACAATTTAATTTAAGTTTATATAATTGGCAAAATAAAATGATTTCTTTTGATGTTTTATCATCAGTTAAACGAAACTACACTGAAAAGTAAGAGTAGTGTATAATTGTAGATAAATCACGAGACATACTTAAAATTTCTTTTGTCAATGACAAAGATTGTTTTGTTTGGATCATCATCATCTTTACTGTCTTCTTTGTCTTTCTCATTATCCATTTTACCAAGTAAGCTGAAAATATTATAATATAGCTAATTGTTCATAAACTTTACTATAATAAACGACAACAAAGAGTTAATGTAGCAGAATCCCAAGTATGAAACGTAAAAATTTCAATTGTTGACTTGTCTTAAAAATAAAACATCATGCAACTCCATTTGTCAATGATGTCAATTTCAGGTAAATGTGGTTACTGGAAACATCTGTAAACTTCAAACTTGCAATTTTTTAAAGTGAAAACAAATCTTACACTAAAACATTAGTTAGGATACAAAAACAGGCTGTATGATTGTCAGAGACCAGTAGGAATATCTTACTTGCGTGTCTTGAACAACCAGTGAGCTTCTTCTTTAGGGGAGGGCAGTATTGCTACAATAGCAGGTGATCTCTGACTGAAAAAACAAATATATGCAAAATAAATCTCTACATATCATAAACATGGTATTAAATATGTTATGAGAACATAAAATAAACAATGGTGTTCATGTTATGGATCTTAAAATATACAAGAGCTGTCGGTAGGACAGCAACGCTCGACTATTCTTAGTGCTTGATAGTAAAAAAAGCCTTGATAATGTAAAATTTTCTAAGTTTACAAAAGGGCAAATTTTTTCTTTAAATCCATGTTACAGTTATAGGTCTTGAAGAGAGTCCTATTATGCTCACAAAGAAGACTATAAAATTTCAACTTGTTTCAAAGCCAGATGTCAATAGAATATGAAAATATTAGAGGTGGTATGCAAACTTAAATGTAAATTCTAAGTGGAAAAAGGGGCATAATTCCGTCAAAATGCTTGATACAGTTACCTCCTCCTGTCTACAGATTGGGGTCATGATGGTGAACAAGTGCGCAAAGTTTCAAAGCGTTATGTCAATTGACTTTGAAAATATTTGAAGTATTACAAAAACTTTAACATATTTTTTTTTCTTTAAATCCATGTTACAGTTATAGGCCTTGAAGAGAGTCCTATTATGCTCTCAAAGAAGACTATAAATTTCAACTTGGTTCAAAGCCAGATGTCAATAGAATATGAAAATATCAGAGGTGGTATGCAAACTTAAATGTATATTCTAAGTCGAAAAAAGGGGCATAATTCTGTTAAAATGCTTGATACAGTTATCTCCTCCTGTCTACAGGTTGGGGTCATGATGGTGAACAAGTGCGCAAAGTTTCAAGGCCATATGTCAATGGACTTTGAAAATATTTGAGCCATAACAAAAACTTTAACAGAAGTGGTTGCGCCAACGCTCGGATGACTACAATAGCTCAACTTATTCTTATCAAATAGTCGAGCTAAAAAGTAAGTCAATATTCAAAAGTTAGTCAATAAGCAATTCTTTTGAACAAGACCACTATACATGCTACAAACCAAATATGTATGATTGAGGACTATTAAGGTTCTGACAAGGTGATTTCTGTAAATCAATTTCCAAAGTAAACAAGAACTGTCGGAGGACAGTATTGGCTCGACTATTCAAAAATCGTCACAAGGATGTTTTATTGAGTATAATAATGCTAATTACCTATGAATACATAAAATTGACCAGAAAGGTACATAGGCTTGTTATTAAGATGTTTTATCAAGTAAATCACTGCTTTATTATTATGAATGCATAAAAATGTCCCATAAAAAGGCACAAACTCTTCAGTGAATCAGTAGTTATGGAGATAACAGCTTACAAGCAAAACTTTACCATGAATTTCTAAGTTGAAAAAGGGGAGATAACTCAGCCTAAATGCAAGATAGAATTATGGATCTTGGTCAGTGACCTACAATTATGATTCTAAATGCATAATTTGCATATATGAAGTTTTAAATAAATATCTTTAATAATTATTGAGATATGTAAAACTTGCATGTAAACATTAACCAAGAGACTAAGTAGAAAAGGGGAGATGAATCAGCCTAAATGCGAGTAGAGTTATGGAATTTGGTCAGTGGCATACAATTATGACTCGCCAATTATGACCCTAAGTACATGTGTAAAGTTTCAAGTAAATATCTTTGAAGACCTTTAACCTTTAAGTTGGGCTTTAACCAAAATTTCTAAGTTTCAAAGGGGCAAATAATTCTGCAAATATTGCAGGCAGAGATATGCAATTTCTAAGTTATAAAGGGGCATAATTCTGTAAATATTGTAGGCAGAGTTATCCAACTTGTACATTGTTTCTATAAATAAGTATTGTAAGTTTCAATTGAATATCTCAAGCATTAATTGAGATATTTGACTTTACAAAAAACTTTAACCAAAATTTCTAAGTTAAAAAGGGGCATAATTCTGTCAATATTGTAGGCTGAGTTATCCAACTTGTCAAACTGATGTACATTGTTTCTATAAATAAGTATTGTAAGTTTCAATTGAATATCTCAAGCAATAATTGAGATATTTGAATTTACAAAAAACTTTAACCAACGCAGACGCGACTACAATAGCTCTCATATTCTTCGAATAGTCGAGCTAAAAATGGAATAAAATTGAAATACTTTAAGTCCTTAGAAAAAATCTATTCAAATAGTGTACCTGAAACAATCACAACTGTTACTCCTTTATAGTTTTTGTTATTCTGAAAATTTGTTTCTGTGAACAAAATCATCCTAAAGCATGCTTTGTAGATTAAAACAAAATTCAGCATACTCTGGTGTGGGATGTATTGTTTCTTAATTTATTCAATGGGAATTAAATAAAGAGAGAAATCATTCTGGCTTGCAGCATTTAAGACTATAAAAATATTTTTTTTGTTAAACATTTGTTGTTTATATCTCACATCCAATTACCATATCTAACTTTCACATTAATAATCACTTCACTTACTGTATAATAGACTTGATAGCTGGTCTTTTCCTGAAACGTAAAAAATAAAACAGATTCACAAAAGCACGATTTTGTAACACACCCATGTAAAAATCATGATTTGAAAGAAATTAGTTGGTACATTGATCATGATCTAATTGTAAATCTCAAATGTTTATGGCATGCTTTGTTATTCTAATCTTATAATTAGTGTTTTTACAAATTAAACCCACGGGTGTAGTCGTCTGTACTCAGCAGGTGTTATCTTCTTCTCAATTTTAATTTCCTTTTTTCCCTCACCAGACTTCTCTTCTTTTTTCTCTGTTTCTTTCTCTGAAAGTTATTACAAAACGTGAGACAGGGAAGTCATCACTGCATATATATTACATAATGCTTCTCAAATATAAACATATCTTCATTTGATTATAACAGGTGTTGAATAGTTTAAATGTATTCAGAAAGCCTTGTACGTAAGTTGAATTATAGTTAAGGAATTTCTTTATATCAAATAAAATGATCTACTTATATCTCTTATTAATTGATTTACCAGATATCATAGTTCCAGTAAATATGAACACTGAACACACATTTATAAGTTCCACATATTGTTACATATTACGTAGATGCTCTTGATATCAATATGTTAATTAACAGACAATCTGTGTTAATTCCTTCATCAGTATTTTCATCATACAAAAAATTGCAATAATAAAAGGATTTAAAACAATTGATGCTTATGTAATCAAGTGTTAATCTATCTATTAAATGCAAGCCTTTCAGTATGCATCATTTACATTCAGTGCATAGTTAATTAGGAAATGATGTCAATGAAGTAGATTTACTGGTACATTACCTTCTGGCGCATTCTTAACTCTTATTGCTGGATTAAATGTATCTGATCGTAACATTCTAAAATAAAGAAAACAACATTCATTAGTTTAACAGGCAGAAATCTTCCCTACATCACAATGCATTTGTTTAATGTAGTAGAGATATGTGGATATTACCATAATGTGTTCTGCACACCACAAAATCATGTTTTAATGTTAAAGCTAATTTACAAACTATTAACCTTCTTCGCTATGAATGTAAAATGCTTTAACTTCTCATCTACTTCTGAGTGTAAAATTTCCCTTAATGAATTCTTAATTTAACAAACTTGTTACACTCCATAGAGAATGCTGTCATTCATGATTTTATGTGCAGGTATTTTCAACCTTTAATCTGCCAATCTTTCCATTTGACATTTTCGATAAAGTTTTTTTTATTTCACACTGCACTACTTAAGTTATATGTAGTGCCAAGTACAGTGCAATTCTATCTTAGTACAAAGCATGTACAGCAGTTATCATTTATTTTTGTTTTCAGCATACACATTTAAGAATATTCGTTTGGTATAGCTGTCATTACAAAATGATTTTTTTTCTATCTGTAAAACCTATCAAATAAATTGCTTTTTGCCATTTCATTATATAGTTACCTTCCCACTTCTTTTTTTAACAGCTTCAAAATCTTTTCGTCTAAATGTGATCCATACCACAAATGTACAAAAAGAATACAGAGTCTGAAATGAAGGAGTACATATATTAATATTACAATGATAGCAACAATTATGACTATTCTATAGTACCAATTTAGAGCCAGGTCATTCTGCAAGTCATTTTTAAACATGTTTTGGTTTCAAAGCTATTAAAGTTAACGTTAATCAAGTTAAACAGGGGCATAACTATATTACTTTGTCAAAAAGTATATTACTTTGTCAAAAAGTATATTACTTTGTCAAAAAGTATATTACTTTGTCAAAAAGTATATTACTTTTTCGAAAAGTAATAGAGATTTGGCCTAATGAGTTTGCTTTGAGCCTATGAGTATATTGGAAGGTTCCTGTTCTTGGATGTACAATTTTTCTTAATTTTCTGTTATCACATGAAACTGGCTATATTTACTTAAAATTGTTAATAAATTTCAATTTAAACAATCAGAGTAAAAGCTTCAGATCTTATATAAGATTAATTAATTAGCAAACAAAAGAAGTAGAATATAAGGTAGTCAAAATGATAAATTGGTACAATTACAGTTTAATGTCTGTTACATAATACATACAACAATTTGATGAAAATAAATTTGGAATATATTATTTACCATGGTCATTTTACAGAATGATGATGTATTTTACATCGTGTTTCACTTACTAACAAAAATGTTATTTTACAGCAATTCTAAAAACTTAAAAGTAAACAAGATATTAAAGTAACTGTAAATAGACTAATTACTGACCTCAAACATAGCCCTGTCCTTGTCTGTTGATGAAACTCTTGATCTATAAATAGATAATCATACATCTAACATTGTAAGTATAATATAAAAGACAGAATTGAAAGAAACAAACAATTTTTTTTATCTAGAAACACCTTTGCCTTTTTATGGAATGATTATAACGGGGATCATTTTGTGACCGAAGGCCTGGTATGGCAGCTGCAGAAGTTCAGAACTAAACTGATCCTTTTAAGTTATAAAGATGGCAGACATGAAACTTTACAGTGAATGCATTACACTGCATTATCATCATTTCCATGTTGTTTTACAGTTTCTTTACAGAGTACAATAAGAAACAGTTATAAAAACATTTCGACAGTAATTGTTTTGTTTACATTTCGTTAGATTGTAAGTTTACAGTAGTTTAAAAATTTATGTTCAATCACACCACTATGATTAAGTAAGTCAAAGAGAAAGACAAACATACATTCCACATGACATATGATGTTGCTCCTCTAAACCAAGTCCTAACACAAGAACACAGTAGACACGTCCTAAATATATCTGCAGCTTGAAGTTTGACCAGTGAATCAGCATAGGCTTGCTTCTCTGAAAGACTTGGTTCACTGAAATAAAAACAAAGTAAGCTATTATACTGATTAGTAGAAATATTAGTATATAGTATTTAAACATTACTTTGCTATTTATCATTAGTAGCAAAGATTTGTGAATTATTAAATCTGGAGACAGTTAATTATACTAATTATTATCTCCAACTGATTTCTTGATACTACGATGCTAGATATTTAAAATATATATACAATAAAAACCAAAGATTTGTTTAAATATTTGTATTTGTCATCACATCTCATTATAACATGGTATTCTTAAATTTGCTCCCTCAATCAAAACCATATAGAATATTTGAATTCTCAGAGAATAGCCTTTGCTGTCAGTACAGAGTCAGGTCAGACTTTAATCTTTGTGCAGTCTGACCAGGCTCTATATTGCTGGGTTACCAGCTTCAAATTGCATCTTAATATCCCTTATTGATTACAATTGTAGCTGACAACTCCATTTAAGAAACTAGGAGGATAAAAACAAATACAATATCTTGATCATTGTAAATTACTATTTTTATAAAAAATATCACTGAACATTTTCTGGGAAAATTGGCAGACATACTTTTTTGTAGCCTATAATAACTTGATATTTGATTCTATACATCATATGAAAACACTGGCAGGAATTTTGTCTGCCATTAACAGCTCTACAATCTAAGAATTATAATTGTGGTGACAAAGAGAGAGAAATGCATAAAACAACACTATGCCATGTAAAGAGCATAATCATTCATCTTCTCCTTGCAAATATATAATCTATATCATGTATATTGCCCCATTGTTTTAATTTTTAGATCAAATCAAAGCAATAACATAGCAACACAAGAAACAGAATTTATATTCTTAGAAAAATAAACATTTATATCATACATTTATAATAAAATATATTCATATTAACAGGGATATGTGGGAAGTTGTGAGACTTATAGGATCATTTTTATAATAATTTCTTTTCATCAGGGTTTATTGTATTATATATAAGTCTGTTTCCATAACAACTGATCACACATTGATCAGAGCACTTGGTTTTTTTATATTTATTTTATAGGGAAATTATATCCATGTTTGTAATAAGATTTAGCTTAAAGGGACTTCACTGAATTGTTTTGAAATGAAGGGACAGTGATGTAACATCTATTAGTCAAAGTGCTATGTAATATATTGATGTGTATGTAATGAAATTCTTGTTTTGCATTGTTGAAACTAAATTCATGGAAGATTATATATTATATATATGTGTCATAATATGGCATATCAAAGTAAAATATTGAGATTTCTTTATTTATAGAGTAAGTCTCAAAACTTTCCAGACATCCCTTGTAAATTTTACTTGGAAAGCATTAATTATGTTATTTGTATCTTTACTAACAATTATCTCAGAAGTAACAATTCAATATTTGATAAGTCAAATATGATGGCACATATATAATTTAAATGTCAATCTTGATTAGTTGTACTTCAGTAAGTATATCAGTCACATGCTGATGTAAACTGAGTTTACCTTTAAACAGTTGTCTGTGAATGCACTTTGTTAATATCTGATTAAAAAACTTGGTAACATTGTCATACATTATTGTTTCTGTGTTTTTATACTGCGGTTCAAGATGAACATATTGTTTTAAACAACATTCACACTATCGCCAATATCAAATATGGCTTCAACAATATTCTTACAACATATTACAACATCTAGGTTTATATAACATTCTATCTCTTGTACATACCCATCTGTCAACCTATCCCAACTCTTAAAATATTTATTTGTTCACTATACTGAAAAATATACAAACTTTCTTTCATTTCAGTTGTAATGAGTTGACCAAACAGGAAACTCTTGATTTCCCTAAAGAACGCTTAATCATGAACAGCAATTAAGTCAAATTACTTCTGCAAACAAATATACACTAAAAGTGCATGACTTGTAGTTCTTTAAATTAAATAACAGTGAGACCTTCTTGATTACATGCCTTTTTTATAACATTTTAGGATTACCAAGACTGTTGTAATTGGGGAAAGAAAGAGCAATAACTAGAAAATTATGTGTCCATAGCACACAGCAGCCTTCACTTCTACTGTTTTGTCAGTCTACTGGCTTAAAATATGACAGACGGACACACAAAAGGAAATTCTACATGACTTCCCCTCCCTCTAAGTGGTCCGGACATAAAAATGACATCCAATTTGTCCAATGTTGCGACATCTTGATTTTTCACAATATTGATCTGCAAGAATTCCAAATCGCAATTTTATATCCTAAAATATGCTTAAAAGAAATCAAAAACAAGTAAAACATCAGATGTACAACTACACATGCTGACCAACATTACTATTAAGTTTCATGACTCAAGGTCAAATACTTCTTGAGCTTGCATCACAAAAATTGAAAATTGCAAAATTTTCACTAAGTCAAGGGCCATAACTCGACAAATACTAAATAAGCAAACCAATGTCCAACATTCCTGTAAACGGACATATGAGCGGATAGCGATTGTCAACAGCTATTGCACCATAAAAATGAAAATTTTCTATTTTGTTATTCAGAAACCCATATTTTCCGCACAATGGCATAATTCAGTTTACGAACCCGAAACTCTTACTTTAGTTATTCCAATAAAATTTTCAGAATATCAGACAAAAGATAAATGGCCACCTCCTCTACATTATATCATGTAACAATAATAATACAAACAATATATATGTAGTATCATGACAATATTCATGTCAACAAATTTAATTATCTCTACAATAACAAATTAATTAACAAGTGTACAAGACCTTAATGTCAGTCAGACAATCAATTTATCTATGTAAGTATACATTATGTATATATAACAAGCAGACAACATACCAGACGAGTGCTGTCTCAAATTTATACTTTTATCATCTGACACTAAACTTCAACATTTAGACTATTGCATGCTCTGTAGAAATATACATCATGTGGCATGCAATGTAAACATGCAGAAAATTAACATTCTTATTTATTGTAGCCATATGCACTTATATATTATTTCAATTTCAAACATTTCT